ATTGTGTCCAGAGACATTGTGCCTGCAATTCTGTATAAACTGCCTGGATGTCATAATGCATCTGAGGTGTTAAGTAGGTGATCATTGAATTGGGAGCTGAAATCGTCTTATTTCAATGCTGTCTATAATGTATAGTCATTATTAAAACAGTAATATAAACATGAAGCAAATTAAATGTGAATTTCTTGTAGTGAAATACCCTCTGGAGCAAGAATGAAGGGAGGAAAAGGTCTCTTAACATTTTCTTTGGTCACTTGTATTGTGGGTGGTGGAGTTTCACTTGGGTTCACCTTGGCTGCTTCCTTATTCTCAGAGCATGAGGATCTCTGCACAGACTTCTTTAAGGCTGTGCCAGTTCTCCTTGCTGCTGCTTTGAGGTCTGACAGCACTGGGGAAAAAATCCCCTGTATGCTGAAGATTTTCAGCTGCTATTCTTGGCTTTTTTGTCTTTGTAGCCCAATTTAACTCTTCACTAAAATGGCCACATGAACATAGCTTGTTCCTATGTGTCTTTCTACTGGGTACTTTTTATTTTAAATTGAAGTACAGTCAGTTTATAGTGTTGTGTCAATTTCTGGTGTACAGCATGATGTTTCAGTCATACATATACATACACATATTCCTTCTCATATTCTTTTTCACTAAGGTTACTACAGGATGTTGATTATAGTTTCCTGTGCTATACAGTAGAAAATTGCTGTTTATCTATTTTATATATAGTAGTTAGTATCTGCATATCTTGACCTCCCAATTTATCCCTTCCTACCCCCTACCCACCCTGGTAACCATGTTTGTTCCCTATTTCTGTGAGTGTTTCTGTTTTGTAAATAAGTTCATTTGTATCATTTTTTTTTTAGATTCCACATATAAGTGATATCATATACTATTTTTCTTTGTCTGGCTTACTTCACTTGGTATTACAATCTCCAGGTCCATCCATGTTGCTGCAAATGGCATTATTTTATTCCTTTTTATGGTTGAGTAGTATTCCATTGTATAAATATACCACAACTTCTTTATTCAATCATCTGTCGATGGACATTTAGGTTGTTTGGTTAAATAGTGCTG